TGCATGTCACTTGTTTGGATCTTGCAACTTGTTATGGGATGGGATTGGTCAATGGTGGGTGGGGTGGGGTGAGGAAAGACAGCCAGAAAATATGATGCAGGGCAGTTCTTCTCAGGTTGTTGGAGCTGTACCACTGGAGGCAGGAGGCCACGGGGCTAAAGAGCATAGAATGGCACTGTGAGAAATTCTTTCAAAACCTGTTTCCATTAAGATGAAAGGCTCAGCTTGGTGCTATACCTCTAACCTCTTTAATACTTACTAATTTCCCATTTTAAGTAGAGAAAGCAAGCTTCAAGCTCGAAAGCCTTGGCAGGCCATGGTACCTGGCTAGAATTTAATGATGCTTTGTGAGCATCTTAGTTATTTTCTATTTACTGCAGGTGACACTAGCCTTTTTATTTAGAGTAACAATATAAAATTTCCTTTTAAAATAATTTTGAACCAAAACAGTGAGCTGATTTAAATAAAAATAATGACTAAATAATAGTATAGGTGCTATGTCATGGCAGTATAGGAATGACAGAAGTTTAGGAAATACTCAATAAATATTTATTGAGCACCTACTATGTGCCAGGAGCTATTCAAGATGCTTGGGATGCAGCTGTAAACAAAACAGACAAACCCCCTAATCTTCCTGGAGTGTACATCCTGATGGAGCAGAACGTTAATCCAAGCGCTTGGTGATGCTCCAAGGAAGGTGGGCACCAGAGGCCATCCCTGTCCCTCTGCGTTCCCGACATTGCTGGGCACCAGCTGTCTCCCCACACCAGATGGAGGTGACCCACAGTTGCAGGCAGCATCTGGCAACAGCTGTGGAGGGACAGGAGCGGTGCCCTGGATGTGGGGCACAGACGCCTTGGCAAGGAAGCTCCGCCCAGACCCCCTGAGCAGTTGGTGCACCTGTGGACTCGGCTTCGGAGCTGGGGTGGGTGGGTACTGGGCTGGGATCCAGGCTCTGACCCTCCTCCCCGACAGGCCAGTCCTCGCCGCGCCCTGGAGCGCTATTTCCAAGCCGTGGTGACAGCCGTGGAGCAGATGGCTAGTGAGCCCAGCCCTAGCCGGGAGGGACACCTGAAGAGGCTGGAAGAGATTTACCGCTCGCTGCTGGGGCCGGCGGTGGCCTCTAGGGGGCGCTGCAGCGGTAAGCTGCCGACGGACAGGCGCCGTGGGCTGCTGTCAGGGGACCCTGCTCAGAGACTGCGTGGCTCAGGGCGGGTGGGACGTTTGGTCACTCCTAGGAGCCTGGGGAACTGAGGGTGCCAGGAACTTGCAAGGTCCTGGGCTAGGAAGGTGGGTAATTTGGTCATGATAACAGCTGACACCTACAGGGCACCTACTATACCTCAGTTGCTGTTCTAAGCACTTCACATATATGCAAATATATTACATATATTGAATCAATTAATCCTTATAGTAAATTTATGAGATAGGAAAGTATTATTCCCATCTTATGATGAGAAAACTGAGTTATAAAAGGGGCTATACATCTTGCCGAAGATCATACAACTAGTAAGATTGAAATCCAGGATAACAAGTTCTTAACCACTGTACTAGAGCAATCAAAGGATCTCACGGTCCAGCAGCCGGGTCAACATCACTGACACCTGGCATCATCAATTTTTATTCCACATACTTCCTTTCTATTTGCATTTTTATAAGACACTATCGTACACTGATGGGAAGCAAGCCCAAGTGGACTGGGAACCCCTAAAGAGCCCTGAGAAGTATCCTGGAACATGTATTTATGGAGGACGGTTCTGATGTATTTCCTGTTTCACGGTTGCCCATGGAATTCATCAGCCTGCATGTCCCAGAACACAACACGCACCCGTAGGTACATGGCACTGGCCTAAGGACTAGAAACCATGGGCAGAGGTCAGTGTGTCAGCCCTGGCACTTGACCTTGGCAGCCTAGGCATGATGGAGGCTGCAGAAGTTAGAACGAGGCAGGCAGGATGGCCCCCCTAAAGAATTCCTCCATCTTCTCAGTCTTCTGTCCTTTTGTTTTTTGTTTTTTTTTTAAGATTTTTTTTATTGGGGAATTGGGGGGATGGGAACAGAGCTGGGGAATTGGGGGAAGGGGAACAGACAAGTTGCTATGCTTTTGTTCTTCAGTCTAGTTGTGGAGGACGTTACTTCATTGGCCCAAGTTGGCACCATCATTGCGCTCTTCCCGGGCGAGGCAGATCAGTCGCTGGCTTCTGGATGGCCTCTCACTGCGGCTGCTGGCCGCTCACGCTGGCTGCTGGCTACATAAGGTAGCCCATGGCAACCCACTGCCACAGGGGCTGCAGCCTATGCCGTCGCCGGCGACTCATGGCAGCCCAGCTCCAGGTTGAGCTGTTGTTCAGCATCTTAGCTGTAGAGGGCAGTGTCACTGGCCCTCATATGTGGGATCCGAACCGGGGCCCTCTGGCATCCCAAGCCAGTTCTTAACCATCGTGCCACTCGGCCGGCCCTGTCCTTTTGTTTTGCTTTAATATTCTATACCGCTGGCTACCTCTGTGCCTCTAATAACCACTTAGAAAGGTCTGCTCAGGAAGCCTCCCTCCTCCTGAAGCTGGGACAAACCCTGGTACAAATCTGGCTTGGTTCTCCTTGGGTACCACTTGCTAACTCAACAGTAATTCTGCACAGACAGGATGAGGCCTGAGCTAGGCCACCCCCACCATCCCAGCCACATCCAGCACCTGTCTCCTACCTTGACTTGTCCTACACATCTTAATGACCAGCCAGCACCCCTGTGAGCCCCTGCTGCTATAGGGGCAGCTTGGGACAGTGATTTTATAAGCACAGTGTCTTGGGTGAGAGCATGCACTCTGAAGCTGGGCTGTCTGGGCTCAAATTCTGGCACTGCCCCTTACTGTGTGGCCTTGGGCCAGTTACCTAACCTCTCTGTGCCCCTGACTCGTCCTCTGTAAAGTGAGGATAATGATATTACCTGTGGCCCATGGTCACTAGCAGGATCCGGTGAGATGATGTCAGTGTGCATAAGGCGAGGAGAACAGCACCTGGCAGTAGTAAGTGTTCTGTGAACGCCGGTTGCTTTCCCCTGAGGAAGCTTGCAGCCTCGTTAGAGAGGGAGGCATGCTACGTAGAAGTTAGTTGTGCCCAGTGTACAGCCAGTAAGGTCTGATGGGGAGGGAATGAGCACTGGGGCTGGAGTCGTCAGGAAGTCTTCCTGAAGGAAGAGAGGAAGGGGCAGGCCCTGGTCTCTCCCTGGCCCTGGTCTGCAGGGTTCCTGATGCCCTTAGTCCTTGGCTGATGAGATCTCTTCTGCATCACCCACAGGAGCAAACATTAATTGTCTACTGTATACAAGCCATTGGATGAGGCCCTGAGAAATACACTGGCCTTTTCCTGTCTCCTGTGGATGTAGGCAGGGCATCTAAGAACAATGAGAAAGGCAGCATGACGGCAGCATGGGGTTCGGGGAGGGACCGACAATAGAAGAAAAGGTTGGGAAAGATACTGTGAGCTGTTTTGTGAAGGGTCCTAAAGGCTCAGCTAGGAAGTCTGCAGGAAACAGAGCTTCTAAGCATTCCTGCGCAGGGAGGGGACTGCTGCAGTGTTAGGCCCCTGATGAGCTGATGGTGGCAGAGAGGGAGAGGATATGGGAGGGCCAGGGTCTCTGTTACTTCCTTTAGTCCCCATCTGGGAGCTGGGAGTGGGGTGGGCAGGGGAGGGCAGAGGAGAATCCAACAGTCCTCTCCTTCGTGGTCTCCACAGCTTGCTCCTTCCTTCAGGTGACTCCCTCCCAGAGCGGCCACCAAGCATCCCTCTGCCCAGCCCTCACATCACTTTCCACCTGTGGACGGATGAGGAACAGCTCTGTAAGTGCCTTTGACCTCCTCTGTGGGAGCTGGCTGGAAACAGGGGCGTGTGTATGTGTGTGTGTGTGTGAGTCTTTGTGTGTCTCTGTGCTTCTGTGTGTGTGTGTGTGTGTGTGTACATATGTCTGTGTATGTCTGTGGATGTATCTATATGTGTCTGTGTGTCTATCTATTGTGTCTGTGTGTCTGTGTATCTGTTGTGTATGTCAATGTCTGTGTATGTCTCTGTGTGTGCATTTCTGTGTGTCTAGGTGTATCTGTGTGTATCTGTATGTGTCTGTGTATACATCTGTTGTGTGTCTGTGTGTGCTCCTTGTACCCTGAGTTGTTCTGCACATCTGGAAGAAGGATGCATTTTCTGTATGTCAGAATAGCTCAGTGCATTAGCCACTGACTGGCCTCACATGCCCATGATGATGCCAGCAGACAATGCATGTCCCCAAGAAGGAGGCAGTCACAAAAGTAATGGTTCCTGGAGCTGGAGGGGGCCTTCCAGAGAGATCTGCTTACCCAACACTTCCCCTCTACACTGGTGTTCCCGTCCCACTGTCCCCTGGCTCTTGTCAAGGGAGAGGGGAAGACAAAGTAGTGGCAGTGCGTGTTCAAGTCCTGGCACTTTCTTTCACATGCTGAGTCACCCTAGACAGACTCAGTTGTCCCTCTGGGCCTCAGTTATCTTATGGGAAATAAAATAAAGGTAGGTTAGAAAAGCCTGTGAGTCTTTCCAGGAGCCGATGATCAGTTATCTGTGTCTTGGCGGAAGCTACAGGGAGTCAGAGAGTGGGAGGATGCTGATGACTGAATGTGAAAAAGAGGGCTCTAGAGTCAGGAGGTACTGGGTTAAGCTGATTTCTTGACTGCAGGACTTCTCAGAGCCTTGAAGCTGTTTACTAATGGAACTCAACAAGAGCTGGCAGGTGTGGGGGGCATTCTCAGTCTGTGGCCACAGAACCTATGTTTCTTTGTGGAGCATCTTGTGGGACTTCTGTTCAGCTAAACAGTGTTTGAGAAACACGGGGCCTCATGCACCTTCCACCCTGATGGTTCCCCATTGTTCACATTCCAGGGAAGGAGTTGGTGTTCTTCCTGAAGCCACAATCCCAGCTGCGCCTCAGTGCTGACTTGGAGGCCTTGAATTTGCAGGGCCTCCTGCCAGACCAGGAGCTGGCCCGGGTGTCCATGCTGTCCACCGACAGCGGCATCGAGCGAGACCTTCCTTCAGGGGCTGACGAGCGGCCTGCATCCAGCAGCCCTGAAATGGAGCATGCCAGGCTGCAGCGCAAAGGGGGCATCAAGAAGCGGGTGTGGCCCGCGGACATCTTGATGCCCAGCAGCTGGGATGGGCCCCCGGGGCTGCACCGGAGGACAGGCAGGCCCAGTGGGGATGGGGAGCTGCTACCCGGGGTGTCCCGGCTACACACGGCCCGGGTGCTGGTGCTGGGGGACGACAGGATGCTGGGCCGCCTGGCCCGGGCCTACCACAGCCTCAGGTAGGGCCCTGAGAGGGATGGCTGGGGGTGGTGGATGGTGGGGACATAGGTGGACCTGGCATGGGCTGGTGGAGGGTCAAGGAATGGCTAGGGAGGGTCAGGAGGCAGAGGCCAGGATAGGATGGGGGAGGATGGTGCACAGTGCACCCATTCCATAGATGAGAAGACAGAGGCTCAGAAATTAGTAAATTGTCCAAAGTCAAGAGGTAATAATGAGCAGAGCCTGGATGTGGAGCCAAGTCTGTTTGAAGCCTAAACCCCTGCTCTCACTGTGTGCTCTGCTGCCCCTTGCCAGGAAACGAGAGACCCAGACGTTCTGCCTCACTCCTAGACTCAGCCTGCAGCTGTACTACATCCCTGTGCTGACACCTGAGGTGGCTGGAGCGGTGGGGGGAGGAGGAAGGGAAAGTGGGGAGCGGGGCATGGGGGAAGGGATGGAGGGGTGTCAGGAGCAGGGGTCTGGGTTAGGGGCTGGGCAGTGACACACTGCAGCCTTGCCCCCCCTGACTCTGGGAACTAGGATCACCCTTCCCTGGGATATGGAGCTGAGAGAGACCTCAGGGGTCTTACGTTCCAGAAGCCACAGACACAGTCCCTATGCACTAAATGTGGCCAGAGAGATAAATGTTCTCTCATGGTGGTAACCTGCCCATTGTTGGTTTTTGTTTTGCTTTGCTAATGGAATTAATTGCAAGGTTCTCCTCAAACAGGGAGCTCATGTACACGCGAGCCCCCTGGGAATTTCAGGCAGTGGCAGCCACCAACCTTCTGGGGGAGATGAAGCCCCACTTGCAGTTTTTCATTTCTACTGCCCACACTGCTGCTTATTGGGGAGCATTACATTCAAAGCAACACTTGTCTGTCCCCTTTTAAGGCTGATGATCATTTTTCAACCTTCCCAGCAAGTGCCTCAGAGAAGGATATTCCAGCTTCATCTGAGGCATTAAACAGAACAGTTTCTACACGGGGCAGAATTGGCCCTAAGAGATTAAGTGATTTGACTCTTCTCAAAGTTAGTTTGCCTAGGACTGGTATCTGGGGACCCTGCAGCCAGGAAAAGAGTGTCAGAGAGAGGGCCTGACAGGTGGGCTTCAAATCCTTGTCCCCAGAAGCCCACATCATTCAGGCGTTTGGACCTGGGAGAGCTGGCTGCGTTCCTGGGCCGTGCAGACCCGTGGTATGAGAGCACCATCAACACCCTGTACCCGGCTATCCACAAGCTGGCAGAGATGGTAGGGGCAGCGAGGGTCGTGGGTTGGGAGGGAAGTGCGAGGGGTCCATTTCAGATATCACTCTTGACCCTTGACTTCAAGGGTCAGCCCAGGGGGGTCCCACGGTGGGAGGAGGCAGGAAAGGAATATATGAGGGGAGCCCTAACCAGCTCGTGGTTGGAATGTACTTGGAATACTTACCAGGTACCTATAGATGGCCCTCCATAGCCATAGGTTCCACATCCCCGGATTCAACCAACCCTGGATGGAAAGTATTCAGAAAAAACAGTTACATTGTTGCTGACGTGTACTATGTAGTTAGGCCTATGATGGTTGTTGACTCTGTACTGAACATGTACAGACTTTTTTTCTAGTCATTATTCTCTAAACAATAATAGTATGACAACTATTTACATAGTATTTCCATTGTATTAGGTATTATAAGTAATCTGGAGATGATTTAAAGTCTATGAGACGATGTGTGTAGGTTACATGCAAATACTACACCATTTTGTATAAGGGACTTGAGTATCTGAGGATTTTGGTATCCACAGGGGGTGGGGGTCCTGGGCCAGCCCCCACGGATACCAAGGGACAACTGTACTTTGGACAAGACCACTGTGGAAAAGAAGTAAAACATTCTTTTGTAAGGGTGTAGACCAATTAAATTCCTTCTTTTATGCGTTTCCTCGGGTGATTTCGCTGATTCTGGAGCACTTCCATGTGGCAGGCACTGTGCTAGGCACTTACACACAGCATCCCTACCAAGTAGCTAATCTTGTCAGCAGGTGCTATTGTTGCCATATCCCCATTTTACAGATCAAGAAACTGAGGCATAAAGAGATTAGGTCACTTGTCCAAAATAAGAAAATGAATGGTAGAGTCCCACCTGGATGGAATCAAGCACCTTGATTCCAGAGCAAAACATAGTGCCACCTCCCAACCCCTGCTGGCATAACTAACCCCTCCCATGGGGAGGAAGCTAGTCTTTTACTGATTTGAAAAGGCCTTTAGGCATATATGTTAAGAGAATCTTATCCTTTTTGAGGTCATATGTGTTGCCGACGTTTTATTCCACTTTGTTATTTGCCTATCAATTATGTCAGCAATGTTGTTAGATCTTCAGAAGTTTAATATTTTATAGTCATCCATACCACTTTTATGCTTTGAAAAGTCTTCTCCACTGATGACATTATATCTGAGATTAAATAAATAGTCACTGTAATTTACTCTAGCACTTTTAATATCTCAATTTTTACATTTAAATGACCTATCTGCAATTAATTTCAGTGTTTAGTGTGAAATATGTAATTTAATTGTTTTTCAAGTGTTTAGCCAGTTGTTCTATTTATTGCATAAACCATCTTGCCCCATCAATCTGAAATGCCACTTTTGTCATTTACTAAATTCTTACATATGCTTCAGTTTATTTCTGGATACCTATTCTTTCTCATTGATCTATTCATTTCTGTTCAAATTAGCAGTTTTATATTTTAATAGCTGTCAGGATAAGCCTGCCCCATTACTCTTCTTTTTCAAAACTTTTCAGACTATGCTTATTTATGTTTGTTTCCAGATACATTTTAGAATTTTGTTGTCATTTTATTTTTAATTCCCTTGGGATTTTTATTTAAATTTGGAGTAGAGTTAGCATCTTTAGCACATTAAGTCACCTTCTCTGGGAGCGTGGCATAACTCTTCACTTATTAAAGTCTTCTTGTCTATCCCTCTGGATAGTTCTACAGTTTTCATCAGATAGCTTTCACCCATTTCTTGCTAAATTTACTCCTCATGTTTGAACTTTTTTCTTGCACTTGTGGATGGTATCTTTTCCCCATTATATTTGGGTAGTAGTTACTGATACTATAGAAGGAACCTATTGATTTTTACATATTTATTTTTAAACTTGCCACTTTACTGAGCTCTCCATTTTGCTATATTGCCTGATTGATTGGAGCGCCTTCAGACATCTTTAGTTCTAATAGAGATGGGGGGGGGCATGTTTTCTGAATTGTGGCTTATCTGAAAATGTCTTTGCATATACATGCAAAATACCTTTTCCTCAAAACTTGGAGGATGTTATAGGAGAAACATCTGACGCAGGTCTCATTTATGTGCCTTTGTTGGTAGCTCTTTTCCCTGCCAGGGCACATGTAGGAGTTTGGACTTTTCCTGCTGGCCTTCTCCTTATAATTAACAATTACACTTACTCCAAAAGCAAGTTTCCACACGAAGAGACAGGAAGCAGTGTGAGCAATGGCAGCATCATTAGAATAAGTTCATAGTTTTTCCACATGACCTTTTTAAGGGACCAGTATTTCAATAGACAAGATATGAGAAGCAAAAGAGATATCATAGGATTGGATGCGTGATACATTAGATAAACTCAGAGCTTCTTTCCAACTCTGATATTATCAGATTCTATGTAGACATCCTGTTCCGTTTACCAAAAAAAAAAACACAAAAAACCCCAGTCATTGTGCTTTATAATTATACAGGGTTGAGGAAGGCCTGTAGGACATGGCACTAGTTCTCTCCCAATAACAAGTAAACATTAGCTTGTTAATATATTCGATTCCACAGAGCTAAAAGACACATCGGCTCCTCTGATTCAATCTCTCATGTCCAAGATTACCTGGCTAGTGAGTAGCTAATCCAAACCTAGAACCAAACCCAGTCCAGACTCTTTCATCATTAGTTATAGTCTCAAGCATCTTGTCTACCTCAAGCACCCAGCACAGTGCCTTACACATAGAGGTGCCCAATATGTCTTGTACAATTGAAACGTATCAGAGTCCCCGGGGAGATGGGGCTTTGGACACATATGTTTCGACGAGGAGTGGAAATTGGATAGTAGGAAAGGCTTGGACTGTGCTGAAGGAAAAGCTGGGTTAGTGCATCAAGGAGCGCATGTGGGGGCTTTGGAGTTTCTCTATTAAGAAAGTGACACCTCGCACAGTAGCACGGAGGGAGATGGCTGAAGACATTCTGTCTCCCTCATAGCCTCCTTCCCTGGACACATCCCGGGCGGTAGACCCCTTCATCCTAGATGTTATCACCTACTATGTTCGCATGGGCACCCAACCCATCTACTTCCAGATCTACACAGTCAAGGTAAGCTGTCCGCCTGGGACTCCAAGGATATCACGGCTGCCTGCTGGACCCCAGGACCCCACAACCTAAATACCCTGGCTCTGGAGAAACACAGGTTACCAGGGTACAAGTCATAAACTCACCCAGACACTCTTGGTTGTTAACTTTATCTTCTTAATCTCTGGATTTCTGTGAGCGCCCACGGACCAATTTCTCATGGCTGCCTCTGCTTCTAGCTTCCTGTCTAACTGAATTCTTGTTTATCACTCTGCATCCTGTGGTAGATCTTTTCTCTGTTGCCTTCCTGATTTTGACCTAAATGAGGGGTTTAGGCCCTTTCCTTGATTTCCAAAATGCAAACCAAAATAACACAAAACAAACAAATAGAAAAAAACCTCTCCACATTTCCTGTTAAAGGGAACAAACATCTCAGCAATGCACATGACTTAAAATTAAAGATTAGGTAGCTGTCACTGCCCTTCAGCAAATGCTCCCAGGAGCACCTGTAGCTGAACAGAGTTGGGTTTCCTGACTTGCTGCAGTGAGGGGGAACACACACCATGAAAAACAATAAGGCATTTCAGGAGGAGGCTGTTAGAAAGAACTTATAGGATTTGGGCTCCTGTTGGGTGATTTTGGAGAGGGTTCCAAAAAGCAGGACTCTGCTCTGGGTCGGATGCTGTCAGGAAGCGGGAGTGATTCTGTGACGGGGCATCTCCGTAGTTCTTACCATCATTTTTTACTCTGAGAAGCAGGAGCCACTCACATTTGCCGGGATGGGAGGGGAGGGGATATGGCCTGCACAGAGTTCCCATTTTTGCCTCTGTTCGGATGTGACCGGTTACAGTTAACAGGAGACCACCAGGCCTCACTGTGAGTACCAGGCCAGCTCCCAGCTTCTTGGTGGCCACTTTTCTCTCCCTCCATCCCTGTTCTCAAAAATTCTGTGGCCACTCTTTCCTGTTGTTCCAACACCTTCCCTCTTGCTCCATCCACACCTTGCCTCTCCCCTCTTCTCTGTCCTTCTTCCCTCAGGAGAAACTCCTCCTCCCATATTTCCTCCAGGTCTTACCAAGAACAAATCAGCTCTCACTCGCCCTTCCCTCACGCAGTCCAGAGCTTCCTTGGACATGATGAGGACTCTCAAGCCCCCCTCTGTGGCCCTCGGCCTTTCGTCCTCTCCTACCCATGTCGACAAGAGGTTTTATTACCTTCCCTTCTGTGAATTTTGTCCCCTGCTCCTGCCATCCCCATTAGTAGTGGATACAGGTAGTTTGGGTTTCAATAATAGTTTCCTCCACTATTTAAAAATATATTGCTGTAGATATGATATATGAACAGATACACAGACAGAATCAGATCAGGTCATCATTGGGTGCACCTTAGAATATTAATTGGCAGGGTGGGCGGGGGACCCCTTCCCTGCCTCTGGACACTCCCCACTGTCTATATCCTTGGGTTCTGGGGGGTAGAGGTGGGAGCTTCCTCTGGTAGAGAGCGGGCCTTCTCCAACCCCATCCCTCCCTCTCAAACTCCTTCCCTCCAGATCTTCAGTGACCTGAACCAAGCCCCTGCAGAGGACATTTTCCTCACTGAGCTGAAGGTGAAGATCCAAGACTCCAAATTCCCCAAAGGTGAGCACCTGCTCCCCGCTTTCCAAAGCTTACCCTGACTCAGCTTCCCCAAGCCCCATTTCTAGAAGGTCCTCCCACCTCTCACTTAATGACCCCCCCATCCCAGCTCCCCTGAACACTGGGGTGCCCTCAGCTCCCTCTAAGCACATCCAGATGGAAGGGCAGCCTGGCACTCCTGAAGTGCTGCTTTTCCACTCAGGAATGCTGTGACAATTCTGCAGCTTCGCCTCAGTGAGGTGAGGAAGCTGGGGTTGGGGAGTGGGGCTCCCGCCTTCAGCCTCTTCTCATCTTCCCTCAGACAGTTCCTCGCCCAGGAAGAGAGGTGTGGCAGAGGGCCCAGGTGCTGAGCTCTCCATTTGCTACCAGAAGGTCAGTGGTTTGGGCACGGTCAGGAGATGGTCAGGAAGTACAGCTGGATGGAAGCAGATGTTAGGAACATGTGGGGGGAAAGCAGACAGAGCCAGAGGAACCTTCTGCCCTTTTCTTGGCACTGCCCCATTTCCCAGCCTTTGGAAAGTTTTGCTGGGATGGGAG